ACCGTCCCGTAAAAAACTGAATCGTCTCGTATTCAGAGAAAATATTCATTTTCAACATTTTCTAGATACTGTACCAGTACTGTGTGTGAAATGCCATCAGAAAGTCAATTAAGTTTTATTCTTTCTCACCTGTCTTTCTATCTTCTTTCACTTTTTAAAGGTTGCCATGTTAGAAAAAATATGCTGCCATGCTGTTTATTGATGTGGCAAATGAATGGTTTATGAAAATATATCTAAATCTGTCATCAGTAATCAGAAATGATCATGTCTCATCTCTAGTCTTCTCTGTCTTAATTTCAGGTTTTCACCATGTGTTGTAGATAGTTCAGGAGGTTAACTCGACCAAGCAGTCTACTTTCGGGTACTGTTTAGATTGCCAGAATAGGGAGGATGCGTAGGTTTAAGTTTATTAGATTACTAATAGCAGCTTCATGCTCCTCTGCGCCTGCAGAAGCAGCTTCATGCTCCTCTGCGCCTGCAGCAGCAGCTTCATGCTCCTCTGCGCCTGCAGCAGCAGCTTCATGCTCCTCTGCGCCTGCAGCAGCAGCTTCATCCTCCTCTGCGCCTGCAGCTTCAGCATCAGCTTCAGCATCAGCTTCAGCATCAGCATCAGCTTCGCCTGCAGCGTCAGCATCCTCATCCTCGCCTGCAGCGTCAGCATCTTCATCCACACCTGCAGCGTCAGCATCAGTCTTGCCTGGTCCAGCCTCTGCGTCCTCATCCTTGTCTGGTCCAGCCTCTGTGTCTTCATCCTCACCTGGTCCAGCCTCTGCGTCCTCATCCTCTCCTTCAGCGTCAGCTTCAGTGTCGCCTGGCCCAGCATCTGGTGCCTCTACATCGTTGGCCACTTTCCAGGCCGCTGGCTGGACGTCATCACCATCGCAGGTGACCTCCTGGACACCGCTGCTGCCTTCTGCGCGGCCAGCCTCCGGACTTTTGTTGCTGCCACTGCCTTCTGCGTGGTCAGCCCCCAGATATGGTTCGTCGCCGCTGCTGTCCACATGGCCAGTCGCCTGAACTATTTCATAGCTGCCACAACCCTCTGCGTGGTCGACCTCCTGAACCGTTTTACTCTGGGCTCCTGTGTTGGCAACCTTCAGGCCGGCCACCAGAACTAAGTGAACTGTTGGGCTGTCAGCCCCTGGCCTGCCCCCTAACCTATGTTTTGGACTCTGTTTCGCAAGCCCCGGTCTGTGTTTTGTGAACATTTTGTTTGAGACTCTGGGGGCTCAGTTTTGGTTCCGGTCCGGGCCCTCTGTCCTGGGCCTCCCACCACCCACCTGGGTCTGGTGGTGTGTTTTGAGGCTGTCAGGAGCCAGCCCTTGAGGGGTGGGGGGGGTACTGTCATGATCCTGGGTTACTGACCCAGCGTTTTGTGTTCATTTTGGTATCATCTTATGTTTTGTGTTAATTCTTATTTTGTATTAGTCCTTAGGGTATGGTTATTCAGCTTAGTGTTTTATCAGCCCTGTTTTCTCTTTTCTCTCCACCACACGACTGCTGCCCCAGCCGTGACATTTCTGTTTTCAGTCTGTGCAATAAGTTACAAGAACTTTTTCTGTAATTTTGCACATTTCTTCCCACTTTGGTTCAGAGTCATGCTGACAGGAGCCTTTTCATCATATAGAAAAACAGTTAATTATTTAACTTCTTTACACTGATGGAAAGTCGGGTGTGGGAGGAGTTCGGAGAGGCCATGGAAAAAGACTTTCGGACTGCCTCGAAGAGATTCTGGCAA